TAGTTTGTGTACCAAAATAACCACAGTTACTAAACAGAATATATATGTATATATTTATTAATCACTCCTTAAGGACTCCCGTTGCTTTCTTTTGCGTTGCTGTTGTTTGTCTTCTTTTTTCTCTCACCATTTCAGCTTCCATTTGACTTTTTGAATGAGAATGAATAATGTGGATATTTGACCATTTACAATGACAAATGATCTGCAAACATTATTGGTCCCGTATCTTTCAGTTGCCTGGTTAATAACGAATTAACTTTCTCCACGACGCAACCTGGATTACATTTGTGGAATATACTTGTCAATGGAATAAATGTCTTTTGCCGGGGAGTGTCAATGTATTTGAAGATTGAACGATCAATTCTTGGTTGTTTGCTCAAAACCAAATTCCCCTATTTTCGCGGAGGCATCAATACGACAGTCATCGTCTCATCGGTCGCTGTTCAGAAAGAAGTCAGGAGACAACCATCAGAAGTAATCTTGTGATTTATTATTGTAATATTTGTTCACAGACCTTAGTTCAATATTATTTTTATATGTTGGTGTAACAATAAAGAATTCCCAAGCGGCCAATCGGTGTTTTGGTTTTTGCGTCCGTTATTACTAAGCGTTTCTGGAAAACTTCAAGGAACAGCGTGAGCCCGAGCGTAGCAAGAGCTGGGCATTAACGGTTTACGAGACGTGACTGACAATACTCTTATACCAATGGAAAAGTATCTATTTGTAATAAAACGTCACGATTGTAGCTTATAACATAACTGATCGTTTCTGTAAAAACAGCTTCCTTATTATATATATATATTTATTTACAGCTTGAGTCCACACTGTATTTTTGATACAAGTATGGAATTTTCAGCATGGATATCGGTAGCCCAAATTTCGCAGGCCGACCATATATATAAGGTGTGCGCCGGCGTGGGCTCGAACCCCGGACCATGTGCATGGTCGGTGAGAGTCCTAACCACTGTGCCACCCAATATGGATATAAATCAAATCAAAAATAAGATTCGGATTTGTACACACCCAACTTATATTTAGGAACTACTTCAAGCTTTATTTTTTCCCAAGTACTTTTAATCCATCCAAAACATACTTGGTTTTTTTTGTTAATGCGAAGTTAATATTCCTATATTTCATGACGTGCTCCATTGAATGACTTGTTATCATATTTTTCCCACAGACCTAAGACAAAAACGCCAGCAACCATGTAACTTAACCATAAACCAAATTTATGAAATTCAAATAATGCTTATCCATGCCTGTATATTTGGTGTGTCCTACACAAGTAGGAAAAAATGTGTATTTTATTAAAACATTATTGTTAATTATGATTGCTAATCGTATATGTAATTTATCATATTGATGATGCCTGCAAACTGGCGTCTCTCATGTACAAAATGAGAATATACTATTATTATTAGTAGTAGTAACAATCCTCAACTAGAGAATGTAGCACCCAGAGGGTCGGAGCGTCTGCACACGAAGCTATTTGACGGGAGGCGAGTGTGGTGAGAGCAGGCTGCTAGCCAATTGGTAGACATTAACCTACGTCAATGTCTAGGTCACTAATATTGGCCGTGAGAAAATATGAACAAGGCTGTTTCAATAACCCATCATAGCAGACTTAACGTGGGCAAACATGATTCTCAGACAGATGGCCTCACTTTCCGGGAAACCCAAAAACAACCAATCAGAAGACTGCGTTTTTCTGCTTAACTTTCTGAGAAACGCGAAAACAACCAATCAGAAGACTGTGTTTGTCTACTTGAATAAGCTTTAATAATGCACAGGAAATGTGCATAAATACCTGCTGATTTCCGTAATAAAGCGATCTGTTGCCGGCCCTTGTCTTTTGGTGTTACACCCGTATGTACGGAATATAAATTATTATTGTGTTTTGTCTTTCTCGTCAGATATTTTTAATATATCAGCAATCCTTATTTCTTCCTATCCCAGTAGCTGTTGCTCTATGGCTTCCATTTTTCTGTCCCTCTTTTGTAGTAATTTCACGGGTACACTTCTGTAACATGATACTCAACGTCTTTAGAAGCTATCTCGAAGCAGTCCTGAGGGCCGCTTACTGTTTTTAGCGATTCTCTTATCAACAAAATATTTGGTTTAGAAGAGTTGACAGAACTTTCAGTGTGGCTGTTGTCTAACCACCACTCTTATGTTTTTCGCCAGTTATTAACAAAAAATGAAGCTCCACGAGTGCAAGCAATGCTGAAAAATTATGGCTAGTCTTAAATATCTCAGAGGATTGATCAGTTATTACCTGAAATAATCATTAAAAATAGGTCAGAAAATAAGACTTGAAATAATAAATGAAGCTATTAAAAATCAAAACAGGCTGTATTGAGTTTATTATACATATACTCGATAAAAAATTAACTTCAAGGCCACTGTAGTGAAAGAGGCTTAGTAAGACGTTCCTGGGCGCTACACTAAGCTCCTCCTTAATGGACTGTCAAATTTTCCTTTGTATGGTGCTTTATAGGCGGTATCCTTTTGAGTGGCTTTATCTTACTTTATAGCACAACTCTGAACGAAGTCTCTGCTGATGCTCCGTGACCAGAAGTAACAATGTGTTCCAGAATTCAGCTTATGACGCTTCTGAATTCTCCTGTGGGACAGATACATGTTGTGGCCACTCAGATCTAGTCAGTGATTGAGGAATTTTGAAAGTAGAGACTAATATACAGGTGAGTGCTATATAATCCTCATGACTTTTAAGACTTTCTTTAAACATTGAATAGTGAATGCCCCAACGTATGTTTGATTGGGTTTCCCGCTCTACTCAAGAATTAAAGTGCTTCTGAAAATAGTTTTAAAAAGTACAGTTAATAGTTTACATCATTACGATCTTTCGGACGGTAACTGAATAATTGCTTCGACAATAATGTCGGCGAGTGAACTCCTTATATGCATCCATTCTGAGAGGTGCATAAGGGTATGTCTGGGACATCTTGTGCTGGTATGGCCTGTGTACTTGACTCTACAGTAGCAAGTGAATTCGTAAATGGACTCTGAAGTCTCTAACAGCCAGATTTCGCCTTTGACATTTTGGTGAATAAGAGTCTGTGAGGGGAAGGTGAGGCTTAGACGCGCAGAAATGGACTTTATTCGGGTCGGTTTCGACAGGCATCTTGAATGTGATATTTCAGCACACCATGGTTTGGCAGAGTACAGGTCTTTTTCTTTAGATGTTTATCGAGGGAGGAGGTTGGATATCCGTTTTCACCGAAGCGCTCCCGGAAGATTCTAATCTGTTGTTGAATGCACCTTCTGGGCATATGTGGTAGATCTCCGCCACATGAGACTCAATTAGATATCTCTTCTGATCGATGGGGCAAAACTTTAAAATGTTGTCAGCAGTCCATTCCATTTGAACTCACAACAAACTGATCCCTGCAGAATTCCATTTTTTCGTCGTGAAACATCTAGTAAGGATGATTTCTTTTTTGGTTACTCTTGAATTTCAACTTCAGCCAGTCGACAGGCGTTGTTAAATGTTGCTGGGATTTTGTTTACGACAGCATTTTCATCTATGGTGGTAAAGATATCGTCGGTTTACCGCTTTAAACCTGGGAACAGTTGATGGTTGACCGTATGACACTGGAATCAAGGTGTGCCATGTAGCCGTTGCTGAGCAGTGGAACAAGTGGAGAAACCACTGATGCCTCGCCTTTCTAATGGTATTTTCGACCATAAATAAGATAAGATAATAATAGCTCTATTGCAAAACAGTACTTGTGATACAGGATGGAATTCTCAGCATTTTACTACAATATTGCATCCAGTTAGTACATCAACAATACATAAAGTTCTACATAGATTAAGGTTATCTCAGTTAGTTTTGACAACAACATATTGGCGTGTCGGTAGCAAAGCCAAAATTGAACAGAGTGTTTGGAGGTGTTAGTAAAGTAGGTTCTAGCATATTTACTGGCGTAAACAGAAAGAAAGAAACAAAGCTGCACATAAGAGAAATAAAAGAGGGAGTAAAGGAAAAGAAAAGAAGGAAAAACGTTGTACCTATAAATGATATGAGCTGGAAAGAGGAGATCCAGTTGTTCTACTGACTATTCAATAAGCTAAAGGTTTCACGCCTAATGCTTTCTTTATCGCACAGAACACGAGCTAAGTAGGTAGGGTATGGTTGAATTTTTGTACTTACTAGTGCGGGCATATAGTTTCCTATATTGGGTTCTGGTTTTCCCTGAAGAGATACAAAGGAAGAGTTATGAATGAAGAGGACGGTGAGAGTTAGATAGAATGTATTTAGCCCATTTTTCCTATGAGTCCAAGTGCCTGTCAACCAGAATATTAACAAGCTGGTTGAGTGGCACGTTGCTTACCCTGCTGACAATTTTTAACATCCTGAGTAATAAGGTATATTTGACGTGAATATCAGTATTAGTTTTTGACAGACAGAGCAATAATTTATTCTCAAAACATCATCACTTAATATTACTGTACAACACTGTGTGATCTACCAAAATAAAATCTTATCCATAATCCCAGCACTATTCCCTTTGGAGTCAACCAAAGCTGCGACAGTCGAGTGGCGGGACGAGCTACGCAGTTTACCGAAGATCAGGAACCTATACCTTACAATCAAGAAGAGAGCACAAAGAAATCAAATTGGTTTATACTAGCTCGTAAAAGCGATATTGGATATTGGATATTAGAGGTTTAATTCTCCCTAAGCTTATGAGTCTAAAGAACTGAAGTTTCATACACGAATACGAAAACATTTTCGTATAAACTCTATAGATAACGAAACTGAGGTAAAGTCAACACTTTACACAACATACAAGGAATGGCCTTACTCAAGAGATGAAATTGACGTGTTGTCTTTATGTTATTCAAATGTAAGGTTGCCCTTGGACTTTGTTGAAGAGAAGGTCACCCGTCCTTTCAAATGAATGAGGTACTCACTGTTGGATGGTAGTTCTATGAGTTAAAGGCACGTTTTTGGCCCCGTTGAAAACATCATAATGAGTGGACAACTAAGGTAAGCTTCAACATTTCTATGGCGGTCAAGGTGTAAGTATTGATATCGTTAATTTATACATAGACGTCTTTATAAATTTCCCTTCCGTCAGTTGTATACTCTAAACCCCTTTTTTAAATTGAATAATATTGTAAAATTTGCCTCGTTAAACGAAAATAATGATTCTGTGATTCACTTAAGACCAGTCGCATCATATCCTTTTTTATCGAAGCGTCAACGTCTTAAACGAAGTTGGGCCTTTGGAGTATATTGTACAAATTCATCGTGTTATCTTAGTAAGCGAAACCGAGGATTAAGTCTGTGACTTTTGAAAGGATTCATTTAATGTAAAAGAAATGTTAATCCAGCTAACGACACAGTTGTGTTGTTTAAAGCTGATCTTGTTTGCTGTTTACCATGAAGTTTCATAATATGATATGCGTATGTTGATCAGTATAGGAGAAAAAGGCAAGGAAATGGCAAGATTTATATCTGGTGAATCAAAAATGTATCGTCTTTCACTCTGCTTTAAAATGTTTGCTGGGTGATGTATTCCGTATTTTCTAGTTAACTTCTTTTACTTGTTCGCAGAGTTCATTCTACATTACTTTGGTGTCTTAGACGTTTGCTACACTCTAGTGATATATTCTTCAAACTAACTGGGTTTCGATAATTGTGTGGACTCCAATTACCTGACGTGTAGTCCTCATATTTTGTCCATTCACTGGCTTATTATAGTTTCTGAAGGACTCCGTCACCAAGAGGCAGCAATATATGGTTGGAATTTTCTCAAGAAGAGTTAACTCACTTATTTCTAAGGCCCATAAATTAAAGTCCTTCATCTCATAGAAGTATATTATCAAATTATGTACTTTTGTATTCATACACCAATTATAACTATTATACTAGTTAATTCCTTTTTACACATGACAGACATAAGCAAACACTTATCTGAAGTTAACCGACGTAAAGTATTCGAGAACTTAATTAAGTATAGTTACTGGGGGACTATAGGAAATGTTTTCCTTAAGCGGCTGCTAATGACTGAAAAACTGAGTTTCCAACTTAGAACTTTGCGCAGCTATGCAGCAGTTCAAGTTTCCACACTCCATGTAGCACACAGAGGAACTATAATGGGCAGTAATATAGGAAAAAAGAATGATTACATGGCGAATCTTGAGTTGATGAATTTGAGAGACTACAAAGAGTGGATGCATTCTCACCATTGAAAATGGTTTTAATCCATATCATCGGCATCCTTCAGTCATTTGTTCTTGGAGTTTCTACGACTCCAACCAGGCAGTTCGCACCTCCGTATGTGACTCGAACTAAAATTCAAAGACTGCGTGGGTGGATGTCATGTTCTGATTAAATCCCCCTTTATCCTGTCTTACCTATGACTTAGGTACTGTATTATTACTTAAAGTTGGTTTTAAATGCTTAAGTAAACGAAAGTAATCCGTTTTAAGTTGTTAACTAAACACACCTTTATATATGTAAGGAATCAAAGAAGTTTTTTTATTAAGTGAACACGGACAACAGAGCCTTTAGTCTCTATTAAAATTTATTTTAAATATGCTAATGGAAATGAATGTGCTTATTGTAAACCTTTCAGAAGTTAACTTTGTCTTGGTACCTTTTAGTTAACTTACGTCACATATATGATAGTTTCTTTAATAGATACACTAACATAGTTCTGGGATTTCCGAATACTCGGGAGATTTTTAATGATTTTCATCAGCTTACCTGCTATACGGGAAATGCTGATACACGATTATCGTGTGTCGACCCCTCCCCCAGGTTAGGTGAATTAAATAAGTGCGTCAATCATTTCCTTCATCAGTTAAGTAAATGCTTCTAAGCTGGATGGCAAAAAACATCTCAGTTAATATACTATGCTGCTCTTCAAAGTTTTAAATTATTTAACGAACAATAAAAAGTAGTTAGTGGGCAATTTGTAGAAGAACTTAAAACATAAATGATACGAAAAGTTCAGACTTTTCAACAATTTTTCCGACGAAAAGTTTCTGTTATGTAATGTTTCCAAAGAGTGGAAAGTGTTGGACTATACCACAAGGTAAAAAAAGTCGTTTAGTAAGATTGGGTACTTATAATAATCTTTGAATTATGTTACACTTCAAGCGACTAAAACATGGTACTCTCTTCAAGTCCGTCTAAGAGTTAGTACATCAAAAAAAGTTAGATATTCACAAATTAACCAAATGTTGGTCAGAGGTATTTTTATTCAATCTCTGTGCTTGGAGTAGTCAAAAGAATGGATAAGGGCAGATGCAGGTGATTGACAGTTCTGAAAAGCTTATTCAAAGCGGTGTATTCATATATTTTTTAAAATCATTTTCACACGTTAGAGAGAATTTCTAACCGTAAATATAGCAGTCTGTTTCTTTCTATCAAATGAGCTTTTACCGTTTAACCAACACTAAGATTGTCAAGAAGTTTCCTAGCCCATTCATTGTTTGTTTTAGCTTTTATTATTACACTGAATTGGTGAGGAGATAATTCAAGGTTATCAAGTTATTATGTGATGTAAATTTCTACAATGTAATCCATATATATATATATATATATATATATATATATATCGTGCAATAAGAGTTAGAGACCAAGTCAAAGAGTAGAATTTGGAGCTCTATATTAGACTGTCTGTCTGTTTTCGACATAGAACTTTGCACAAATGTGCGGAAGTTCAATTCGCCACACTCCGTGAAGCACACGAAGCAAGAGAAGAAAGTACAAGAAAAGCATAATAGAAACAGTGAGCAGAAGTGTGAGACAAAGGAGTAATAAAGAAATACAAAACAGTTTCATTGGAGATCATAAGTCACAAGGAGTGGATGCATCCGCGTTAGCCACTGAGAACGATTTTGAGCCATGTCACCAATTGTTTCCAACCATAGATTTTTACCGTCCCGAGGACCCCAGCCTGGAAGTCTACACCTTTCTACGTGGCTGGCTTAGACTAACTGTTGTAGATTTCATTGACTGGTGCCAAGTTTTTGTTCGACCGCCGCTAGCTTTTTTCCAGCCTGACCCTATATCCGCTAACATTGCTCGTCGAGGGAGGCGATGGCTTGGCATACGTAACACATGTCCTAACCATCTCAGTCTTTGTAGCTTCACGACTTCGTCGATTGATTTCCCCTGTTTACCTAGAACTCTACGCCTAACCTCAATGTTGCTCACCTTATTATGCCACTTTACACGGGAAATAGAACGCAGGCACCTATGATCAAAGACAGCTAGTCTTTTCATGTCTTCCACTCTGAGTGGCCAGGTCTCACAACCATAAAGGAGGACGGAGCGGACTGATAAGCAGTACACCCGCCCTTTGGTCGATAGTCGAACATCTCGTCTACGTCAGAGTCGGCGTAAACTGGCAAATGCGAAACGAGCCTCGTGTATTCGTGCTGAGATTTCGTCAGAGATCAGCCCGTTGGGGCTGATGGTACTTCCCAAATAAGTGAAGCGGTCAACGTGCTCTACCACTTCACTTCCTATTTTTAAACTAGGCGTCGATGTAGTCCAGTCCTGTAACATCATCTTGCATTTGGCGGGAGCGAATCGCATGCCAAACATTCGTAGATTGCTGTTCAAGGTGTTTAGAAGACTCTGCATTTTGTTAGCGTCTTCGCCTAGAAGGACTATATCGTCTGCATATTCCAAGTCAGCGAGATTATTCCCCGGTAGCATGTCAATCCCTGAGTCGCTGAAGTCACTTAGGGTTAAGTCCATTAACACATCTATGATGAAGTTGAATAGAAAAGGAGATAATGGGCATCCTTGACGGACACCACTAGTCGTCACCAGTTCAGATGACAGCTCGCCGTAAGCCCTCACCTGGCTGTATGAGTTCGAGTAGAGTGAGCGGCTTGATCAGTGCAATATATTTTCTCGGAATTCCCTTTACAGCCAAGCATCTCCAGAGAACTTCTCGATCGACAGAGTCGAATGCTGCCTTTAGGTCAAGAAATATAATGACTGTTGGACGCCGGTAGGAATGCCTATGTTCTAGAATCTGTCGGAGGGTGAAGATATGATCAATACACCCTCTTCCTGGTCTAAAGCCTGCCTGGCTCTCTCGTGTTTGTGCCTCCCGAGCACCACTCAGTCTACGTATGATTATTGAGCCTAAGACTTTAGATACTATATTAGTCAAGCTAATCCCTCTGTGACTATCACAGGAAGACTTGTCTCCCTTCTTGTATATCAGGATAATCAGTGACTTACACCAACCCGATGGGACTTCTTTTGATTCCCAGACGCTGCCTAGAACCTCAGTTAATGCAGACAGTAAGCTGTCTCCACCGCACTTAAATACCTCTGGAGTCATTCCATCAGGTCCCGCTGCTTTGCCTAGTTTCAGATTGGTGACAGCTTTAGTAACCTCAGTTAGGGATGGAGGACCTGTGTCTATATCCCATTAGACTGGAAATCTGTGTAGAATGATAGGCAATGATTTGTGTTCGAGATGTTATCCTGTTATTAATACTATATTAATATATCTTTTGTATTAAATAAATGTGGTTTGGTGGTCTTCATTGTTATTTTGACCTTGAATATGTCCTTTTAACTTGACCTAAGTAGTCTGTTTTCTCACCTCTTGCCTTTTTATTAATTTAACATATATTCGTATGACAAGTCTGTGTGTGATGGATCAGATTGTTCGAAATGTGTTGTGCGCGGAAATACATGACACGATTCAGACAAATCACGTCTTATTGCTTTATCTGAACTATTTTTATTCCTAGTCTGATTGTCTATTGATTTCTCTCTAATTTCTTCCTTATCATTTATATGAACTGTTCTGAATTCAATTTGTTTCCGCGCTCGCCCTAATTTAAATCTATACACTTTTGTCATCCCAATAGTGTGTTGCACTTTTTTAGCTTGAATAATTGTCCTACTCATAAGTAGTAGGTTGTGTACTTTTAAAATAGCCCGCTTCTTTTGGAGCGACACTTTATTATATCATTCAGTGTCCAATAATTTCTCTCTCTTTCTGGTTTTCTTTCTTTCTTTGATATTATGACAGAAAAAAGGTGAAGCCTGTTGAAGGACCAAATCTTTTATTTCAAAGTTGGATAAAAGAAGCAATGGAAAAGGCATTTATAAAGGATGCTAAATCGTATTATGCTTATAGAAAAGTAAGCGTTAACAATTGTTCTCCATAAGCATAGAATTATTTTTGCTTCTTTTCTTTCTTTTGTTTAGGCATTTTCCTCATTGAAAAAGTATCCTCTGTTACTGTTAAGTGGAAAAGACTGTAAAATTCTTGAAGGTTTTGGATCAAAACTATGCGATTTGTTAGATGAAAAACTAGCGAAATATGCCAATGAATTACAGTTGTCGGTTATTGAAGCAATACATTATGGGAATAAAAGTTTAAAAACATCAACTCCAACGCCAACAGCGACACCAACATCAACGGTGGTACAGTCATTGTGTAGTATAAATCCACTGGATGAAGTAAGCGAAAGTTGTTTTTAATGGGAATAAATGTGATCCGTTATACAAGATCAAATTCAAATGCAGCATTATGATGATGAGGGGGCTGATGATAATTTTCATTTGATGATGCTGTATACTTGCCTTCAATTTGTTTAATGTTTAAATCTGTAAACGGCGTCCTGTGTATACTTGTATCAGAGAATTTCAACTGGCGTTGTTGCTTTTTTATGCATAGTCGAATAATTAGAATAAGGCTTATGATAAAAATAGACGGTGAACTGAACATTAAGCCTAATATCCAATGACGTGGATAGCATATGATGCGTACACTTGTATAATCATAGTCCGGTGCTGTCAATGTCTCGACAGCATAGTCGATGATATAACTCTTAGGAGATGACGGGATTTTGCACAGAGTTGTTGTACTGCCATCACATATAATTGGATCACATGGATTAGGCGACCAACGTGTACGTGAGAGATCAATATATCCGGTTATGACGGATGACTGGACTTGTAATTTCTGTTTATTATCATGACTGGTTGTTGGAGTTGAATATGACGGACGTATTATCATCGTGTATACATCATTGTTTTCAATTAAAGCATACTGTCTACCTTCGAGATTTGTTTGTAGTGTATACCATGAACAACATTTTTCATAGCCTTTTTTATACGCGCCACTTTGAATCCATCGATTCAAAGAATCTTCACCTTTAAGTAGGATAATTTGTGTAGGTTGTGAAAAATTATGTACATGCATATAATCACCGGCATGAAGTCGAAGACTAGCCATTGTTGGTAAACTCCAATTGCGTAGAACTAGACTATAATTTTGTTGTGCACCATAATGAGGTGATATAGGTGTAGCCCAAACACGTGTTCTTAATTTACTTGATTGTATCTCTAGATGGCTACATGTGAATGAACGTAATTCGTGTCGGTTCATGAAAAAAGTGTTTGTTGGTTCACCTATCAACACTTGATCCCCTTTAGCTAACACTAAATCGATTGGTCCTAGTGTATAATGGATGAAAGCCAATCCACTGACGATAGATCCAAGTGTTAGACATGTACACAGTAATAATAATCGACAGAGTTTAGACATTCTACCCTTCAATAGTACAATAATACTGATAATAATCAGTGGGATTAGGGTTATCAAACCGACAATCATAAATACAAAGATATAATTCTTATATAAAGCTTGGTGTTGTACATTTTTATCCAAAATAATATTTGATGGTATTATTACGTCATCGGAGGAATCCATAATTTTCGTAGTCGCCAGTCGTAGTGTTTAGTGATGATTGTAAACAGAAGTTTCTGTTGTCGTTCAAAACATATTCTTCCTTGGATTTTCGATCCGTTGGTTTCGCTTTAAATACTGAAGAATAAAACAAAGTGGAGCCAGTTAGACAGGGCGTACAATCAGGCGTGTTTCTCGTCGTATTTCTGAACATCACCCTGCGTAGTAGTTGGTTAAGTAAAGCACAAACAAAATCTATTCGTAGTGCTATTCTATCACACTCATCTTATGGATACAGAACACAAGATCGATGTTAATGAGGCAGCTTTCAAAGTCATTTACCGCATACCAACAAAGCTTAACTTCGCCTTAAGAGTTCGTCTACTACATATTGCTGAGGCTGGGGCTGTTTGGATACACATTAAGAAGCCTAATTTATGTGTTCAAAAGAGGCTAGTTCAGATATTGTCCTTACCTTGGCTATCTAGGTTTGAATAATCCTCAATTTTTGTGGAGAGTTTCCTAATTTTAGTTGATATTCTATTTGCTATTGTATCTTTATTAGTATACTATTATAATTTAAGCATCTTTAATGAACTCTAATTCCATTGATCTCATGTAACAAATCAATATTATTTAAAAAGCACTAATATTGTTATTGAGTACTATTCTAGAATATTCTATGTATATAAACATATTTAGAACAACACATTTAAGTGAACAATATTGTGCTTTCAATTAGATATCATCAGGCTTAACTCTAATATATATAAGCTTACAAATAAAATTCGAATATATACCAACCATGGTGCTTTGTCTATAGGATAATAAGATGGTGAATATAAATTGTGCAATTAGTCATTATAGTAGTAGTGATAATATTAATAATAATAATGGTCTTATCAATAATAAGGATGAAAAAGTGAGGCAGTCTGTGATAACACGAATAATGAAAAAACAGCTTGATTAAACAAACAAATGTTCTGGTGGAAGTAGTCGATAAAGGCTAGTAAAAACAAATGAACCGATTGAGTAATGCTAGATTTTAAGGGAAGTAAAGGATACAGGATGATAAGAAAGGGGTTAAGGATATAAACAAGGGGTGGTGTAGAAGTCATTAGTTAGTTATGTCTTAATAGGTCAAGCGAGGGAGGGATAATGGCTGTACGAACTTCTTTTGAATGAGCATAGTTTAGAATTAATAGTCGTTCGAATGCCTATCGCCTGCCTCAGCTGTGTGCGTGCAGTAGACGAATACGAAGTCTATTGGAAAGATTCGGTGGGATACGATGCATTACTTCAAAGCCATTCAAAGTAATTCAGCCATTATCCCTCCTTTGGCCTATTAAGACATAACCAACTAATGACTTCCACACCACCTCTTGATTTGACTGGTTACAGGATTTTCATCATGAACTGACATCGGTTAAAGAACTGTTGGAAAACCAACAGAAAGTACTCGATGTCTGTTGATATTAATCTGATGCTCACTAGCGACTGACCCTGTTTAAGTGGTAGGTGGCAGTCAGTTACCTGGTTTCTTATGAGAAGTCGTTCGTGACCAGTGGGATACAAGTAGGTTGGGTGTGGGCACAAATACGCGCCATGGATAACATTGGCTAGTGGTCACGCTATGTCGCGAATTGGCAGAAGTTGAAATTCATGGGCTGACTGGTCATTGGATCGGGCCTCAGTGGCTTAATGGTTTACGGGATCGCTTGTAACCTCATAACCTGAAGGTTCTGTGTTCGGACCCCAATGGGTGCGCGTACTGATGACGAGTTCCAAACTAGGCTGAGGAGACAGCTGTCCAGTACTCCCTGATTGGTTTTCCAATGGTTCTCTAGCTGATGTCAGCTCATGGTGAAATCTTATAAACAATTGGGAAAAATATAGCAGGATTATGACGCAACATAAATTTGATGATATTGGATGGTTGGAGGCAATCGGCCACAGGAAACCTTAAACCCAGGTTCCGTGCTAGTTGGCACTCATCAGCAAGGCGTATCTGCAACCTTGAAGGAACTCACGTCCCTTCTGAGGTTCGAACCTGCGTCACCCAGTGGAGCTGCAGTCAGAGACGTTACCACTGAGCTATTCGAGCTCACGATTGACCTCCTGTAGGACTGTAGTGGATATTTTAATTTGACACTAGTAACTAGTGTGATGTGTCTAGTCCTCTCTTTGGTGCAGACTGAATTCTATCAGTCTAGGTAGCTTGGCATCACGGTGCACATTGATTCGATGATATTGGATGCTTGGAGGCAATCGGCCACAGGAAGCCTTGGACCTAAGTTTTGTGAATTATCATGAATTATACTCGGTCCTGAAACTATCTGAGGTATCTCTGAGTTATTGTTTTGATTTTCTAAACACTCAGATTATTTTGATTAGTTTTATGGTTTCCAGTGGCTGTTATGTTTGTTTATGGTTCATTGGTAGAGTACGGACATAGGGTCAGGCTGGAAAAAAGCTAGCGGCGGTCAGACAAAAACTTGGCCTCACCAGTCAATGAAATCCACAACAGTTGGTCTAAGCCACGTAGGAAGGTGTAGACTTCCAGGCTGGGGTCCTCGGGACGGTAAAAATCTATGGTTGGAAACAATTGGTGACATGGCTCAAAATCGTTCTCAGTGGCTAACGCGGATGCATCCACTCCTTGTGACTAATGATCTCCAATGAAACTGTTTTGTTCTTCGTTATTACTCCTCCTTTGTCTCACACCTCTGTTCACTGTCTCTATTATACTTTTCTTGTATTTTCTTCTCTTGCTTCGCGTGCTACACGGAGTGTGGCGACTTGAACTTCCGCACATTTGTGCAAAGTTCTATATCGAAAACAGACAGACAGACAGGTAGAGTACTCGCTAACCATACACTGCACATGGTCTGGAGTTCGATTTCCGGTCGATGCTTAGTTGGTAGTAAGTCCTTTAGGGAGGATATGATAGGGGTGGGAGGTTAACAACCACACTGCTTAAAAACAAATGAACACTCCTTCTACTGAAACTTCAGAACTCAAGCTTAGCGCCGCCCCCCTGTGTTCCTCTAGACGAAACACTTGTCTAGCACTCCTTGGTTTTCAATGGTTCTCCATGCTGAAATCAGTCAAATCCCTGAAAATCCATATTTGAAAACCAACCATTCAGTTTCCCTGTATTATTTCACAAAGTAGATTATTCTAACGGGCGATTATACAGCATAACCCCTTTTTTTGAAGTGGCGCCATCTGTTTCATCCAGTGAGTTTTAGGGCGTTTTAATAAATACACCAAAATATTACCAGCATAATTCCATGAACATTGAATAATATACGTATAACTTTTTGAACTTGCTGCCTCCTTTTATCTATTTCATTGAGCGGATATCAGTATGAAACAACATTTTCCGATAAAAGTACAGAAAATATAGCGCGTAGTTCAAGGGTATAATGCTACCGATAATATGTACGCCAAAAAATGTATTTTAAAAAGAAAATACAAAATTTCATTTAAAAAGCATATCAAAAAAAACAACAACTTATCATTAAACCGTCATAGCAACGTCGGTGCGTTGATGTGGCACAGTGGTTAGGACACTCGTCGACCACGCCTCATGTAGTCCGGGGTTCGATCCCCAGCCACCGACACACTCGTTTACCTCGCTCGCTAAGCCAGAAATAAACCTGGTAAAGAGGGAAGGTTGTTGGGGCATGAGGCTAGCAGCAACCCCATCCTGTAAAAAATAATCGCCACTGCCACTACAAAATCTTCAAACCTCTAGCTTGAAGCC